GCATGCTCAGTTCACCTAAGTCTGGAGGTGCGGTGCTGCCTAGTTGTAGCTCAGCCCCTCTGAGGGGAGGCCCCTCACTGGCTCTGGGCACCACCTGGGGGAGAAAGGGGCTGTGAGAGCTTTCTTAGGCTGCAGGCTCAGGGAGGTGAGTTGGTGAGCCTGGAAGACTGCCCCGGGGCTCCGCGCGCCACTGCCCCTGGGGGTTTGCAGTTATGAAACCCATGGTGCTGCTGACAAGTGACACCGTTTAGCACTTGGCAGGCCCCCCAGGGGCTGATCACAAGATGGGGCTTGTGAGCATATGTGTGAGCACTGCTGCCTGTCTGTGAGGATGGCCTTCTTTCTCCTCTTTCTTTCCTTCCTTCTAGTTCCTCTCCCTGCTTCTCCCGTCTTTCCTGCTCCCTCCTTCTCTTTTATCCTCTCCTGTTTTCTCTCCCGTCCTTTTCTTTCTTTGTCAGAACAGATTAACTTTTAGGACTGTTGCTCTTGTTGGAACAGCTCTGGAGGCTTCAGAGGGATTCCAGAAGGCTTCGGTGTTCTGACACCCACATCTGGGGAGGAGCCCACTTCTGGGCGGGCATGTCTCATCGGAAAGCTGTGGTTAGCTTTGGGTGGAAAACATTACTCAGGGCACACAGCTGCTCCTGTGTGTGTGTGTGTGTGGGGGGGGTGCGGGCTGGAGCTACTGGGTCACTGAGCACCCTCTCCTGGGGACCTTTATCAGCCTTCCCCCAAGGCTTCTGGACATAAGCGCCCCGCCCCTGTACACCCCCCCCCCCCAATACCCCTCCAAGAGTCCTGGGCTTCGAGCTCCTTCCCCTAGAAGCCTCGGAGAATGTAATAGTGTGAGGGCTTGTTGCAGCCTTGTCCCACAGAAGGCTAATAATCACCTGACCTTTGAGCCAGCTGGTCCCTTCTTGCTGTTGGCCAGGAGTCTTTTCTCACTTTTATCTTCCTAACCAGTCAGATCTCTTTGGGCTAGAGGGTTCTGCTTTCAGCTGGCTCCAGCCCAGGGGCATGAGAACAACTCGGTGCCTCTTGTGCGGGGGTGGGGGGCAGGGAACTCGCGTTCAGCCAGCGCTCTGTTTGTGAGCCTGGGTGGTGCTTCCTGGCTCCTAGTGAAGGTGAGAGAGCCAGGACCCCCACCAGGAGGGACTGGTTTGGGTCTGATTGGAAAGTTCTGAGGGGATGATTCTGCAGCTCATTCAGGAGGCCCTTGTGGTCCTTTACTCTGCATTTGGGAGGTGTCTCACCTGAGGCTCCTGAGGACAAAGAGGGTGAGCTGGTGATTGGAACTCAGGGGCTGCCCACACCCACACGTGCACATTTGTCTGCTCATGTGGCTTTTTCCACAGCAGGGAGAAGACAACTCAGAGGTTGGTTTGGTCCAGGCCTGTCCTTGCCACCCACCTTTGGTTCCATTTATAGTTCAGTTCAGTTGCTCAGTTGTGTCCAACTCTTTGTGACCCCATGAATCATAGCACCCCAGGATTTCCTGTCCATCACCAACTCCCAGAGTCTACCCAAACCCATGTCCATAGAGTTGGTGATGCCATCCAACCATCTCATCCTCTATCGTCCCCTTCTCCTCCTGCCCCCAATCCTTCCCAGCATTAGGGTCTTTTGCAGTGAGTCAACTCTTCGCATGAGGTGGCCAAAGTATTGGAGTTTCAGCTTCAACATCAGTCCTTCCAGCTAACACCCAGGACTGATCTCCTTTAGGATGGACTGGTTGGATCTTCTTGTAGTCCAAGGGACTCTCAAGAGTCTTCTTCAACACCACAGTTCAAAAGCATCAATTCTTCAGCGCTCAGCTTTCTTCACCGTCCAACTGTCACATCCATACATGACTTGACCATAGCCTTGACTAGACAGACCTTTGTTGGCAAAGTAATGTCTCTGCTTTTAAATATGCTGTCTAGATTGGTCATAACTTTCCTTCCAAGGAGTAAGTGTCTTTTAATTTCATGGCTGCAGTCACCATCTGCAGTAATGTTGGAGCCCAAGGAAATAAAATCTGACACTGTTTCCACTGTTTCCCCATTTATTTCCCATGAAGTGATGGGACCAGATGCCATGATCTTAGTTTTCTGAACGTTGAGCTTTAAGCCAACTTTGTCACTCTCCTCCTTCACTTTCATCAAGAGGCTTTTTAGTTCCTCTTCACTTTCTGCCATAAGAGTGGTGTCATCTGCATATCTGAGGTTATTGATATTTCTCCCGGCAGTCTTGATTCCAGCGTGTGCTTCTTCCAGCCCAGCATTTCTCATGATGTACTCTGCATATAAGTTAAATAAGCAGGGTGACAATATACAGCCTTGACGTACTCCTTTTCCTATTTGGAACCAGTCTGTTGTTCCATGTCCAGTTCTAACTGTTGCTTCCTGACCTGCATACAGGTTTCTCAAGAGGCAGGTCAGGTGGTCTGGTATTCCCATCTCTTTCAGAATTTTCCACAGTTTATTGTGATCCACACAGTCAAAGGCTTTGGCATAGTCAATAAAGCAGAAATAGATGTTTTTCTGGAACTCTGTTGCTTTTTCGATTATCCAGCAGATGTTGGCAATTTGATCTCTGGTTCCTCTGCCTTTTCTAAAATCAGCTTGAACATCTGGAAGTTCATGGTTCACATATTGCTGAAGCCTGGCTTGGAGAATTTTGAGCATTACTTTACTAGCGTGTTAGATGAGTGCAATTGTGCGGTAGTTCAAGCATTCTTTGGCATTGCCTTTCTTTGGGATTGGAATGAAAACTGACCTTTTCCAGTCCCAAGGCCACTGCTGAGTTTTCCAAAATTGCTGGCATATTGAGTGCAGCACTTTCACAGCATCATCTTTCAGGATTTGAAATAGCTCAACTAGAATTCCATTACCCCCACTAGCTTTGTTCGTAGTGATGCTTTCTAAGGCCCACCTGACTTCCCATTCCAGAATGTCTGGCTCTCGGTGGTTCCATTTACACCTGCCTGGTATGTACCTGCTTCAGGTCCCTGGCCTAAGTGCCCGGCCTCTGTGTTTAGCCCACAGGCTGGACACTGGTTCTTTTCCATGTCTTCAAACTTCTCTGTTTTAGCTTTGACCTGCTCAGGAACAGAGCAGCCAAACTTCTCCCTTTAGGTCATTAATGGAATGAATGGGAACTTTTCCCAGGGATTGAAGGCCTTTATGGGGTATCCCGGTCAGTAGCAGCCTTTGCTCCTGGGGCCCTGTGGTGTGCCGGCTGGTTTGTTGCCCAGCAAGTTGTTCAGCCACCTCGAGTCTGAACTCTCAGCTCCAGACCTGGCTTCCAGCTCTTCCCTGCTCATCCATAAGAACCTCGGGCCACAGCCACTTCTGATCTGAGTGGTCCCAGAAGCTGTGCCTCTGGCTGGGGGGCTGTGTGTGGAGCTGGGACCAAGGGACAGCCCTGGGGACGCTCGGGGAGGGATGGGGTTTTCAAGTTTCCGGCAGCAGCAGTTCTGAGCTCATGAATCAGGGGCTGGCACCCGTGGCACATGGCCTGTTTTCACTTTCTGGCCCCCCTTACTTGATGGAGCCCTGCCCACCTGCCCAGGGACTTGTCCCGGTTCAGCAAATGCACCCCTCCACTTTTGATAAGTTTCCAGACACTGTGGAGTGGGTGGGCTGTGCATCCTTCAAAGCTGATGGATCTGTGCCGGCTGAGCCACATGCCTGGGGGCGTGGCTTTCATCATGTCTCATCACAGCCAGACAGCCATACATGGTCACTGTGACTGCAAAGCTGCAGCGTGGTGACTCAGCCCCGAGAGGCTGATGTAACGGGGAAAACCGGAGCCAGTGTGGCTGCTGAAACCTGGAGGCTGAGAGTTACCCCCTCACCCCGCCGCCCCACCCCAGGGTCACCCTCACCTGCCCAGGAACTACCTAGGGCAGCTCTGAGCAGACCCAGGTCTCAGAGCAGAGGTTCCAGAAGAACTGGAAGAGAAACCACTGCCTCTTAATCAGATGCCGGGCCAGGGTGTAACAGCCCAGCCTGGTTGGGTCTTTGTGATGTGGTCAAGGGAGTGGGCATGGACATTTACTTGGAAATTGGTTCTTTCTTGAAAGGAGAGCCTGCCTGCTTCTTTTCCCTAGAAAATGCCGATCTTGAGAGGGACCCAGGTGTGGTATTGAGCGGGAGGGGAGAGCCATTTTAGATTCTTATTCAGTCATGGCTTGTGCAGTTCAGGGTGATTTGGTCCCAGGCTATGCAGTTTTTGTGAGCATTTTTACTTGAGATAGTTGTGTGAAATTTCCAGGCAGTAACTAAGCAAGGCCTTTGACAGAGAAACTTCAGCCAGGCCGGCAGCTCTTGGTTTAGGATCAGAGTTCATTCTTTCTCGAGGGACAACCTAGAGAGGTTTCCAGAGGTGGAGAACTCGCCAACTTTATGTAATTCACTGAGCCCATGAATTGGGGAAGAGCAGGAAACATGGCTCCTCACCTCCAAGGGCCAGGTTTGCCGTGGACAAGGGGACTCGCAGAGAGCCCTGTGGGTGCTGCGGAAGAGGGGCTGAAATGCTGGCCGTTGGAACGTCTGCTCTCCCACGTGCATATTCCCCGTGTGCACAGCACACGGAGTAAAGTGAGAACAAAACAAAGGTTTTCGTGGAACCCAGTACATCCAGTTGAAAGATCTGTCGTTTATTCTAAGATTCTGTTATGCATTCTGTTTGTAGAAAAATGTTAAGCAACCGCTTTTTTTTAAAGTGCTGACAGTAATCAGTGTTTTGTGTTTACTTGGTTTTTTACTTTTTTAGTATCATTTACCTGCTGAGACATGAAGGTGGCTGTTTCTTGTCGGCCCCGTCATGCTTTCTGGGTTTTGGACATTTCCTGCAGCCAGCCCGGGTCGGCCTGGGCCCACAGAGGCACATGGCCTTTGTGGACTTGGGTCCATCCTCCGTGTCCCCCTGCTTCTTGTCTGGGGGTGTTGGGATCGCTGGCGGGGCCGGTTGGCATCCTTCCTTGTGGTAACGCGGAGGCCTGTGGCTTTCCCCAGCCATGGATTTTCCCCAGCACAGCCAACACGTCTTGGAGCAGCTGAACCAGCAGCGGCAACTGGGACTTTTGTGCGACTGCACTTTTGTGGTGGACGGTGTTGACTTTAAGGCTCATAAAGCAGTGCTGGCGGCCTGCAGCGAATACTTCAAGATGCTCTTCGTGGACCAGAAGGATGTGGTGCACCTGGACATCAGTAACGCGGCAGGTACCCCGCTGGGTCCAGGGCCGAGCTTGTGGTGGGCCCCGTGCTACACACGGCTCTCCTTGAGCAGCATCTTTCAGCTGTGGGGGACAGGGGGCTGGTGCCAGACTTCCCACACAGGACTCGGCCACAAGTGCCTGAGTACCAAGTTCTTACCATGATTGAGGGGCCTCTTTTGACTGGGAGCGGGGTGGTAAGAGGAGAGTGACAGGAAGGCCTCATGATAAGCTTCAGGCCTAGTGAACACAGGACAGGCTTATCAGAAGGGGCAGAGAGCAGGAAGACTCTGAGCCCCTGGTCCCTTTCCATTGCTGAGTCAGTCTTCAACCCACTCTCCCAGTGCCTTGATGGCAGTGGCAAGGTTTGAGGTCTGGAGGAGCAGTGTCAGGAAGGTCTTGGGATTGAAGAAGGAGCTAACTGGTCTTAGATTCAGGTTCCTAGCCCAGAATGACGTGCCATGCTGTCAGAAGTTTGGCCAGGGTGTTGTTTCCCCATTTTACAGATGTGGAAACTGAGGCCCAGAGAGGTCAGGTGACTGGCCTGGAGGTCAGATAGAGGGCTGATGGCAGAGCCCTGATGAAAGCCTGTGGTGACGCACTCTGTCTTCGGTGATGAAGCGCAGTGGCTGGGTGGAGAGTGCTCAGAGTGGCCATTTACACCCTCTGCCTTCTGTGGGTGTGCTGCTTTTTGGAGCCTGCCTCTCCACTGGCACAGGAGATGGGGGAAATGGTGGCCTGCCACTGCCACTCTGCTTTTTACAAATTCCTCAATTCTGCCATGGAGTGGAGTGACTGGACAGGGTGCTGGTACCAGGTCTTGAGATGGGTCCGTGACGGCTGTCTGTGTCCTTGGCAGGCCTGGGGCAGGTGCTGGAGTTTATGTACACAGCCAAGCTGAGCCTGAGCTCTGAGAATGTGGACGATGTGCTGGCTGTGGCCAGCTTCCTGCAGATGCAGGACATCATCACGGCCTGTCACGCCCTCAAGTCCCTGGCTGAGCCGGCTGCCAGCCCTGGGGAGAATATGGAGGCCTCAGCTGCGGAAGGTAAGCTTCTTGGCAGGCTGTTCCTGAACGGGTGGCTCTTGAAGAGAGCTCTGCCCCTGCCTCTGGGACAGTGTCATATGGCCTCCCCTGCATTATGGGGAGCTGGCGGGGAGGAGCCACAGCAAAGTCTGAGAACGCCTTTCAGAGGGGCCCTTCTGTCCTCCCTTCCCAAGGGCACTGGGCAGCCACGCCTGGCTCAGGGCCTTTGCACCAGAATCCACTCCTCCATCAGGCCTCTTCTCCCCCACCTCCTCCTGCTCCTCTAGCGCCTCAGGAAAGCCCCCGAGGCCCGGTGTCCTCCTGACACACTTTGAGAAAAGAACACTCCTTTGCATTAAGCAGCGGTCTCTGATTAGCACCATTTCATGTGCGAGGTTTGTCTCCCTAACCAGTCTGCCAGCCCCATGGCTGTTACATCCCAGGCCTAGCCGGCAGCCTTTTCATGATGTTGGTACCTGTGAAGAATCTGTTGAGTGACCCAACTGACAAACCACTACTTAGGTGTATCCCAAGGGAGGGTCTGGAAGAGCTAGTGAGTTCTGGGTCACTTCACCCCTCCAAGTGGTGGGCACTTGATGGGAAATAGCAGGTCTGTCCTCTTCCATCTCCAGTGGGGGACAAGAGAGCCAAAGAGGAGAAGGCTGCTGCCACTGCGCTGAGCGAGCTGGACCCGGCTAGGAGCAGTCCGCCTGCGGGCCCAGGCCGGGAGCCCAAGGAGGAGCGTGGCGGCCAGGCCGAGAGCACGGGCAGTGGTGAGTTGCCACGCTGAGGATCCGGCTGGCTGGCTGTCACCTGCCGGCAGTGTGGGCTCCAGCACCACAAGTGGCTTCCTCGGGAGGCTCTTGGGGGTGAGGGGACACAGGCAGCTGCATCCCTTGAGCTCAGGTTCCCCAGAACAAACTTGGTTTTTCTGGGGCATCTGTTAAAGCCAGAGCAGAGGCTCAAACAGCCTGAGCTGGGATGTGCCACGCCCCCCAAACCCCTGGGGCCACAGCCACTTCCAGAGGCCTAGTCCAGGAGACCCATCCAGCCACTGGACAGTGGGCCCCAATCCAGCCCTGGATGCCCCCACCCCCACCGCAGGTGCAGAGCAGACGGAGAAGGCAGATGCTCCCCGGGAGCCTGTGGAGCTCAAGCCGGACCCCACAAGTGGCATGGCTGCTGCTGAGGCTGAGGCTGCCTTGTCAGAGAGCTCAGAGCAAGGTACCCTCCACTGGCCAGATTGGCCCTCACTTAGGTCAGCATCCCCCACTCTTCCTGCCACAGCTGATCTCACTCTGAGTCACTCTTTCACATCAGCTTTTGGGCCAACATCATCTTTTCTCATTCCTGAACTTTGATGTCAGCTTCTTGGTTGTACATCCTGGCCTCGCTTCCTGTTAGCACAGAAGTATGGCTGTTGCAGTACTGGCCCTGCTGTTTCTCCCTGAACTGAGCACCATGGGGGAGCTTTGCTGCCCCTGGCACCCACCCCTGCCCCCAGTGCTTGTTGGCTGAGAGCATCCTTCCCACTTGGGTCGCCAGCTTGGGGACCCTGGTGGACTGAGGCCCATCTGTAACCTTCAGGTAGCACTGTCCGGGTCATCGGTCTCCCTAGACTTCCAGACCCTGCCAGCCGCTTGCGAGGCGCCCACGCAGAGATGAGCCGGCCCCCCGCCTCACTTGACACCCACCCCCCACCGCCCAACCCCCAAGACGCCTCAGTGCCTGCCCTTCTCCTGGCAGAAATGGAGGTGGAGCCAGCCAGGAAGGGAGAAGAGCGAGAGGAGGAGGAGGGCGCCGCGCCCGCGGTGGTCAAGGAAGAGGGGCTGCCACTGGAGAAGGGTGAGGCCCCGGAGGAGAGTGAGGAGTCGGCCAGCACGGACTCAGGCCAGGAGCTTGGCGCTGAGGCGCGAGGCCTGCGCTCAGGCACCTACGGCGACCGCACGGAGTCCAAGGCCTACGGCTCAGTCATCCACAAGTGCGAGGTGCGCCGCGGGCGGTGGCGGTCCCGCCCCTGACTCCGCCCCCTGCCCCCACAGGACTGTGGGAAGGAGTTCACGCACACCGGGAACTTCAAGCGGCACATCCGCATCCACACGGGCGAGAAGCCGTTCTCGTGCCGGGAGTGCAGCAAAGCCTTCTCTGACCCGGCCGCCTGCAAGGCCCACGAGAAGACACACAGGTAGGCCCCGCGGCCGCCCCCTTCCTTCGCCTGACCCACCCTGGGCCCCCGCCGAGCGCCCTCCGCGACCCTCCTCCTCCGCGCTCTGCCGCCAGCCCGCTGAAGCCCTATGGCTGCGAAGAGTGCGGCAAGAGCTACCGGCTCATCAGCCTGCTGAACCTGCACAAGAAGCGGCACTCGGGCGAGGCGCGCTACCGCTGCGAGGACTGTGGCAAGCTCTTCACCACGTCGGGCAACCTCAAGCGGCACCAGCTGGTGCATAGCGGCGAGAAGCCCTACCAGTGCGACTACTGCGGCCGTTCCTTCTCCGACCCCACGTCAAAGATGCGCCACCTGGAGACGCACGACACCGACAAGGAGCACAAGTGCCCGCACTGCGACAAGAAGTTCAACCAGGTGAGGGCATAGGGGAGGCTGGGGAGAAACCGGGAGGGCAGATCCGGAGGGGTTGTGCCTTCTCCACCGGACTGGAGGAAGGGTGGAGCCCCGCAGAGGACAGAGACCAGAGGTTCTGGGGAGGGAGGGGCTGGCCCTCTGACCCCCTGCCTGGGCGCAGGTGGGGAATCTGAAGGCCCACCTGAAGATCCACATCGCCGACGGGCCCCTCAAGTGCCGGGAGTGTGGAAAGCAGTTCACCACCTCAGGTAGGGCCCAGCTGGTCCCCACCCCCCCTACTTTCGCCCCGGCCTCCCTGCCAGGCCTTCCCTTGGTCTCGACACAGGGAACCTGAAGCGGCACCTGCGGATCCACAGCGGGGAGAAACCCTACGTGTGCGTTCACTGCCAGCGGCAGTTTGCTGACCCCGGCGCCCTGCAGCGGCACGTTCGCATTCACACGGGTGGGTGGGTGAGCCTCGCTGGGGCGACGTGGGGACATGGACGGAAGGGAGGTGCTGATATCTTGTCCCGGCTCCTGCCTTGCGTCCCCAGGTGAGAAGCCATGCCAGTGCGTTATGTGCGGCAAAGCCTTCACCCAGGCCAGCTCTCTCATCGCCCATGTGCGCCAGCACACTGGGGAGAAGCCCTACGTCTGTGAGCGCTGTGGCAAGAGGTGCTGTCCTTCCTCCTTCCCCCTCCACCTCCCACCTAGGCATGGTGGCGTCCCAGCACTGGGTGGGCGGAGAGGGTCAGACAGCACAAGCCTGCTCTGTCCGGTCCGGTCAGGAGCCGGTCACACGGCTGTCCAGGGCAGGTCGCCAAGTCCTCTTCCACCTCAGCCCCGTCTTAGCCTGGGAGGTTCAGTACAAGCCCCTCCCTCTGGCCCTGCAGATTCGTCCAGTCCAGCCAGTTGGCCAATCATATCCGCCACCATGATAATATTCGCCCCCACAAGTGTAGCGTGTGTAGTAAGGCCTTCGTGAACGTGGGGGACCTGTCTAAGCACATCATTATCCACACTGGTGAGTGTGTGCCCACCTCTGTCCCAGGCCCTGACCCCAGGCTGGGTGGTGCATGGGGGTGGGGGGAGACGCCCATCACCCCAGCCTTGGGAGCTGACACTTGCTGCAGGCTGCCTCTAAAGCAGTATAACTCCCAGGAGGGCCCCACTTCCTCAGACTTTCTAGAAGGGCCATCTGTGCCTTAAGTGGCCACTCCAGAGCATTTCCTGCTGGAAAGACAGGGCTGCAGGGGAAGCTGGAGGCCACTGAGGTCCTCCCCCCCTGCACCCTCCCCCCAATGGCAGGAGAGAACCTTGCCTCCCCCCCCAGGAGAGAAGCCCTACCTGTGTGACAAGTGTGGTCGTGGCTTCAATCGGGTGGACAACCTTCGCTCCCATGTGAAGACTGTGCACCAGGGCAAGGCCGGCATCAAAATCCTGGAGCCAGAGGAGGGCGGTGAGGTTAGTGTGGTCACTGTCGATGACATGGTCACGCTGGCCACCGAGGCACTGGCAGCAACAGCTGTCACGCAGCTCACAGGTGCGGACATCACTCAGCTCCCAGGGCAGCAGGGGGTGGTCACAGCAGGGCTGCCTCTGGGGCAGCCGCAGAGGAGCAGGTGATGGGTCTTAGGCCTTGCTGATTCCGTCCACAGTGGTGCCAGTAGGGGCCGCAGTTACTGCCGATGAGACTGAAGTCCTTAAAGCCGAGATCAGCAAAGCTGTGAAGCAAGTGCAGGAAGAAGGTGAGAGGGGAGCAGAGCTGCCTTTGGGGAAGGTGGTGGGCCCTTCCTGTCGTGACCGCACCCCTACCTCCCACAGATCCCAACACCCACATCCTCTATGCCTGTGATTCCTGTGGGGATAAGTTCCTGGACGCCAATAGCTTGGCCCAGCACGTGCGGATCCATACGGCCCAGGCACTGGTCATGTTCCAGACGGATGCGGACTTCTACCAGCAGTATGGGCCGGGTAGCACGTGGCCGGCCGGGCAGGTGCTGCAGGCCGGGGAGCTGGTTTTCCGCCCTCGGGACGGGGCCGATGGGCAGCCTGCTCTGGCAGAGACAGCCCCCACCGCCCCTGAATGTCCACCGCCTGCCGAGTGAGCAGGCACCCCTCCTCCTATTTAAGGATGGATGGCACCCTAGAACTGAGAAGGGTGACCCCATTCCCTAGAGAGAATAAATTTGATTATTTTCTAATGCTGCCTGTAGCTCCCTGTGGGGGTGGGGCGGGGAGCTGGCAGCTCTAGCTGATGCCACAGAAGGGCTGCTCCACCCAGCCACCAGCCAGCTGAGCCTACTTCTTGGGAAGGCCAGGCTGTCCCTTTGCAGGGAGCCCCGAGACCTGTCTAGAAGGAGGCTGACTCCTTCGCCTGAGTGTGGGCAGCACACCAGAGAAACTGCGGCTCCATGAGCCCCATCCCCTCATCTGGTCTCCTCTTTGGAGGCCGCTCACCTGCTCAGCCTGAGGATTGGACCTTCCCTCTCTGCCGTGGAATACAGCTGTGACCCTGCTGCCCTCTGCTCAGGTGTTGGGAGCTGGGCCCAAAGGGCTTGGCCACACTGCTTACCAGGATCCAGGATCCAACCATGCAGGGCCCAGCTTGAGGGCTCATTCAGCCACAGCAGCAAGGTAGGCAGAGCACCAGACCAAGCAGGCCACAGGCCTGGTTCTCTTGGGCTTAAGGAAGCCAGAGAGCAGCACACTTGCTTCATGGTAACTCTGGCTGCAAGATCAAGGCCAGGCCAGCGTCATCTTCTGGAAACAGTTTACTTGCTCTGAATCAGTGGAATCTCTAAGGTGAGGGGCTGGAGAGACAGGAATGAGCGGCCAGGAGCTCTGATGGGGGGGTGGGGGTGGGGTGGGCGGTGCAGCAGTGGGGATGGAGAAGCAGGGGGTCATGAGATGCCATCTGCCGCTTTTCCATATGGCTCGTCCCTAACAGCTTTAATTCCTCACTCAGAGATGGCACCATTCGGCACTGGAAGTATAGGTCTGTTTGGAGTGTAGGGATACTGCAAGTGAGACCAGTCTTTGTGTTCCATCCCTCCTTGCCCAACTCACCTTGTGGTGGGTCCAGCTGTTCGGAGGCAGCTGCTGCAGGGCCAGCCTGCGCCTTATCCAGAGAAGGAAGGGACAAGAGGCAAGACCCCAAAGCTTTCTTAATGTTTTTGAGTTTGACTGGGCAGTGGCTCTATTCTTTATTAAATTTGAAGTGCCTTCAACATTACCCAGAAACCAGTTGGGACCCTGAAGTGTCACCACCACAGCCGTGAAAAGGTGGCTCAAGTCGTAGTCTGATGAGAATTTTTTTGTACAAGGTAAAATGATCCTTGGGGAGGATTAGTGGCAGAAAGGAGATGGGTTCCATATACAGACTTAGTAGGGGATTGAAAACAAACGGGGTGAGGGCTTACTGTTCCTAGAGGCCAAGGACCCCTGGTCCTCCCATCCAAGTGAAAATCACATCCACACTTGACATGTTTTGTATTTTTTAATAAAGTTTGTAATCCAATGGACACACAAAGCAAAACTGCGCTGAGAAAAACAGTTTCATAAATTAATAAGTGTTAGGAAGTTGGGAGAGAGGTCAAGGTCACAGGAAGAAGGGAAGCCAGTCTTTTTGTACAGTCTTTTTGTGTGTGTGACACTTCCAAATTGTGGGGGCAGGGCCCGTGCTATAACGAAGCGCACTTATACAAATGAGTGACAATACAAAGTCTGAGTATGAAAATAAGATTTTCTCTGAAAACACATTTTTGGCACAGATTAAAAAAAATGTATGTCAGGGAATTTGATTTTTAAGTCAGTATTATTATATATATTTATATATATTATATATTTATATATACACACATCCCAAGTTCTGCATATTCCACTAGGAGAGAAAATCCTTCCGTTTGCTCTTTTTGATTGTAAACTGTACATCCTGGGTGAATCAAAGATGGTGGTGGCAGAATTAAGAGAGGTGACATCCAAATGAGCAAGGGGAAGGGAGGAGTGGGACCAAACAACTCAATGAAATGTTCCTTGACCCCAAGGTTTCAGCAGATGTTTGAAGTCCTGCGTGAGTCTGCGATGTGTGTTCACGTACACCAAGACATCCAGAGTGTCACAGCCTGTCTTCACTGTGCAAAAGTCCAAGTCACTAATTTAGTGCAAAGGCAGTTCTGTTTTGTTTCTTAAAAACAAAAACAACAAAAAAAATCCCACTGCCCTGTTCCTTTTCTCCAAAAAGAGGAGAGAGAAACCCAGCCTCAAGGTGTCTGCAAGTCCATCGGTTGGTGGTCTGTCCTTGGGCTAAAAGTCATGTAAACATACAAGTAGCAGCACCACTGCCCAGAGGGGTCTGTCCGACTGAGCTGGGCGGGCGGGCGGGCAGGAGGGTGAGGCTGGCCGTCTGGCAGTGGAATCTGTCCCCTTCGGCAGCTTCTTCCTCCACGTGGCTGGGTTGTCCTGTGTGTTATTTTTTGCTGCAGAGCCTCAGGAAAATACACTGAGTGGTGACCATTCAGTGGCTCACACAGAGGCAATGACAATCATGAGGTGGGGAGAAATGTTGGAGATGCTGGCCAGGAGGTCAGGGGCCAGCCGGGACAGGTGACTCTCAGAGAACTCGCAGGGCGGGAAGATCTGCAGCACGTAGGCGGGCTGGAGTGGGAACGAGAGAGAGAACTGGGACCCCCGGCTTCATGTCACCCACCCACTACCTCTCCTCCCTCAAACTCCCCAACTGGGAGGCCCTGAAGGCCCAACACACGGAGCCAGGCTGAGCCAAGTTCCCAACCAGCTAAGGTCTCTTGAGACTCAGAAGAAAACTAGGGGTAATTAGCCTCCAACTAATAAAAGTAAGTGGAAAAAAAATTTAAAAAAGAAGAAAACTAGGTATCAGAAAACAAACAAACTGACCACCTCCCTGGGAGCCTCTTTTCAATAGTTAAGCTAAAGAAAAACCTTTGTTGTCTCAGCTGCCCACTGACCACCTCCTGGATGGGCAAATGGCAGTCCTGTCCATACATGCCCATCCCCAGCTGGTCTCCTCTATCCAGAATGCCCCTTTGTCCAGCTCCTCTGGGAAACTGTCCTGGACTCCTAGTTGTTGGCACTGGCAGGTTAGTCAAACTGCCCAACCAACACTACCCACAACCCCCACCCCCACAGGCATACATGTGCCAAGGCAGGATGCTGGGCTGACCTGATTGGAGCCGGGGTTGGGAACATTGATGATCCCTGCCGCCTGCTTGGCCTGCAGATATGTGATGAACGCAGCCTTGAGTGACTCTGTTTGGCTTACGACGTCCTCTTGGTCGCGGCCACAGGGCAGAGCCAGCAGCAGACAGTAATCTGTTTCCACCTGGGGAAGAGGGAGCTGTCAGTGATCAGAGGCCACCTCGCAAAAGAAGGTCAGAGACCAAAAAGACAATTATCCAACCCAGGGGATTTGGCTTCTAAATCCACAAAAAACCCTACTACTGAAATGACCTTGAGGTCCATCCATATACTTGTTGAATGAAAAGGAGCCTCATCTCTAGGTCTAGAGAAACTTTACACCCCTGGTGGAGACAGAACACGCCCTTCATCATCCACTCCCAAGAATCCCATTACTGCACCCCAAAACAAGCCAGGGAGACAGTGGGGCCCACCCATGGCCTCCCTTCCTGTGGGTGGGACAGTGGCTAACATGGGCCCTGAGCCTTACCGTCATCCTTCGGGCAACCCCTTCCAGCTGGGAGGCCTCCAGCCGCATCCTCTGGGCAATCCTCAAGGGGGGCCCTCCTTCAGAGAGGGGCAGGGACCGATGGGCCAGGACATTGTTGCCAGAGACGAAGTGGAGCTGCACAGCAGCTGTGTCGTTCTTCAGGGCCAGGAGGCCCTGCCACACGATGGGGTACTTCTGCTCGCGGGGAAACAAAGAACAGTGAGCTCACAGCTGGAGAATGAGGCCACGCTGGTCATGGCCCTGAGGAGCAGGTGCTGATTTAAGTGGGGCTCTCAGGACAGTGAACACATGTAAAGCTTGGAAGGTGGTAGGGGAGGCCCTGTCCAGGCTTACCTTCAGAAGCTGCACCATATCCACAGGCCTCTGGGAAGTCAAGTGTGGAGAGGAATCTTGTTTGGGGGTGGGTGGGGCTTCAGTATGGGGTAGAGCCAGTCCTGGAGGGGTGCTGGGGCCTGAGGAAGTAGGGACAAACAGCGGCTGCTTTGGGGCAGCCTGAGCAGGAAGAGGAGTCGGGAGGTCAGGCTTCAAGGAGACACACACAGGGGAGGGATAGGAGGTCTGGCTCGTCTCTGCCTGCGCCCTCTGGACCTGGGTATGAGGCTCAGCCGGCCTGTTGGCAGAGACGTTGGGGAGGCGCGGCTGCTCAACTCCTGTCTGGGTGCCCTTGGCTTCCTGGGACACCGGAGTTATCTTGCTGCTTGAAGGCTGGCTGAGCTGGGAGGGCTGTGCAGGCTGGGCCGGCTGTGCGCACTGCACAGGCTGGAGGGGCTGCGTGGGCTGAGTAGGCTGAGTGGGCTGTAAGGGCTCACCTTCAGGGGGGCCCTGGAGTTGGGTGGGAAGAGAAAGGAACAGAGTCAGTCTGTTTTGCACAAACAGCATCCTGACCCCAACCAAGCAGCCAAGGGCCCCCAGGTGGGTCACCTGCAGGGCAGCTCCTGGCAGCCAGGCCCCTGGAAGAAGCTTTAACCAGACGGCCCTGCTCTTGGGCATTCAGGATTGACAGTTCTGGTAAAAGTCGCCCGAATAAACCTTGTCACCCTCTCGGGTCAGAGCTGCCACACCACCCGCTCCCACTGTGAGCTCCCTCATGTCCCCAGGCTCTGCTGTAATCTGAGCCCTTCATTCTGAAGTTGAGGAAGCGTCTCTTGAAAGCCACAAAAAGGACGCCATATTTCAGGGACCTCACTGGTACCCGCCACCCCCCTACCCCCAACTCTCTGGACCAGAAGACAGACTGGGCGTGCTCACCTGGGCGGGAGCCTTGGTCCGGGAAGACAGGCCGATGGAGGCCGTGGCAGGGAACTGCGTGTGTGTGAGCTGGGCCGGGCTGTGGTAGGTGCGGACGTCTCCGTACCGGTACTCCTGGAAGAGCTCCCCGCTTGAGTGCACAATCTGCACCCCGTGGGTCACCACCACCGGTGGGGTCAGAGGCAGGCCCTGGAGCTGGTTGCTGGGGGTGACTGTGAGGATGCGGGCCTCCCCATGAGAGGCAGGGGCAGGGGCAGCTTTGGCATCTGCCGTCTTAGTGGCTTCTTTCCCTGTCTGCTGAGGGGCCTTGCTGGCTGGTGGCACCTTCCCGACCCCGTCTGCTGTCCGGGGCTGCTCGCTGACGGCCGTCACGTGAGGATGCACCATGATCCTCACATCCCGGGGCACGGTGTATGGGTGCAGCCGGTACTCAGACTGCATGACCAGCACCTCCGACTGCACGGGGGCTGTGGCTCGAGCCACAGGCAGGTGGTAGTGCACTTCCTCCTCTGGAGGGTGCTGGGAGGCCAGGGCAGGGACCCCAGCTGCAGCTGGCTGGGGGGTGCCGGCGCGCTGCGGGGCCCGGACTTCTATCTGCTGCGGCTGCAGGGGGGCCCGTGGAGAATGGAGTGTCTCGGGCCGGATGCTGTAGGTGATGCTGGGCAGCGTGGGCGTGTTCATCCTCACCTCGCCCTGAGACAGGTGGCTGAGGGACACAGTCTGGGTGATGCTGTGTGGTGGCATGATGACAGACTGCTCTGGGTGGATGCTGGAGATGAACTGGGGCACAGGAATGCCTGCTGCCAGCATGACCGTGGCATTCGTGGACAGCGCAGTGGATGTGGTGCTGCTGGGGTGGCACGCCCGTGGGAACGGGCTTGGAGCGGGCCCACTGGGTCGAGGTGAATGCGCATCTGGCTTGGTGGCTGCCAGATGGGACACCGTTCGATCTGTCGGGGTGCTGGGCCCCGACGTGACATGGTTCACTTCTCCCGGCAGTTTGCTGGGCAGAGCAGGAGGGTGGTGGGGAGTAAGAGTGGAGCCCAGGTTTGCCGGCTGAAGGACCTTGGTCTCTATTTTGAGGGTGACGGGGTCAGCAAGCTTTTTGTTAGTGGTGACTATGCTTGGGGTGAGGACTAACTGGTTGTGAACCAGCACCGGGGGTGTGTTTATGCCCTGGGTGAGGACCTTCACTGTGCCACCCTGGGTGACGGGTGTGGACACAGACAGGTGAATCGGCTCGGGCTTCTCCAAGGACGGACGGTCGGCCTTCACCGATGAAATCACAGGAGATGCATTGTATGTCTGTGCAGTCAGTACCAGAGTAGAATGGGTGGCCACATTTGCATAGCCTGAAGGAGCTTGAGGGCCTTTGGCCGGAGGCTGAGACGGTGTGACAGAATCGGGTTTGACCTGAGACTTGGACACCGACTGTTGAAATTCAATGTCCATCGCACTTGCTGGGGGGATCTGGCTAATCTTGGCGCTGATCCGCTGGGGCCCTTCAGTCTTCTGCCCCGAGTAGCTCAGGAGCACAACCCCTTCAGAAGT